ATTTGATTATCGTATTGAGTACACGCGCTTGTATGATTATTACTGCTAGTATTACCAGTGTGCTTCTAACTATTACTACTTGTTCTTACTTATAGTTCTAATATTTAGTTCCAGCAGTATCTCTTTCTCATGCATTGTTCTGTATTGCCATTAACTTTGATAACACATTCGTATTGCAATGCTTATTTCGATGCTTGCATTCTTTGATGATGATTAGTCTTCTTATTATTGTTCGTACTAATATTCGCAGCAACATATAATTTTCCTTTGTCTCTTTTGATCGCTTCGCTCACTGCGCTGGCCCGCATTGTGCCATCGGAGGCGTTTGCCTGCGCGTTCGTTGCCTCTTGGGGGCCTATTTGGGGCCCCCCTGGAGCCTCTTTTTGGGCCTCTTGGGGGCCTCGTGGGGCCTCCAGAAGGCCTCCTGGGCTCTCTTTGGGGCCTCTTGGGGCCTCCTGGAGGCCTCTTGGGGCGGAAGGCTCGATTTGGTGATTCGTGTTCCCCATCTTGGGCCCCTCTTGTGGCCGTCTTGGGGCCCTCTTGGGCGATCGTGGGCGCCTCTGGGGCCGTTTTGGGGCCGTCTTGGACAGTCTGGGGCCCCTCTTGGAGGCCTCTCGGGCCGTCTTGGGGCGGTCTTCGGGGCCTCTGGGGCAATCTTGAAGCGTCGGAATGCCGAAAAGGCGAGATGGTTGAAAACCTTAAAGAGTTTCAGGAAAATCACTGATTTTTGTCTCGTGGGGACCTCTTTGGAGGCAACTTGGAAGCCTCTTGGGCTGTCCTGGCGGCCTCTTGGGTCGTCTTGCGGCCATCTTGGGAGGCTTGGTGCGATTTTAGGGCGTCTCTGGCCCGCTTTGGGGCCGTCTTGTGGCGTTCTTGGGCCCGTGTGGCCGCCTCTTGGGCCGTCTTGGAGCCGTCTTGGGCCATCGTGGGGCCATCTTGGGAGCCTCTTGGGGTGGGCTGGGGCGGTCTTGGAGGGCTCATGGGCCTTCTTGGAGCGTCGGAAAGCCGACACAGCGAGATGGTTGAACACCTCCAGAAACGCATGGAAAATCGATGATTTGGCCTCTTGGGACGCCTCTTGGAAGCCTCGAGGGGCGTGTTGGAGGCATCTAGGGCCATCGTGAGGCCATCTTGGGCCGCCTTTGGACGCTGTTGGCTTCTGGCCGCAAGGCCTGCCACCTATTTGTCGACTCATTGGGCCGCTCCTGGACGGTTCCAGAGGCCCCCAGGCCCGCGCCCAAGAGATCCGGCATCTCTGACCCGGACTTGCCGGGAGTTGCCCAGTGTAATTTTCGCTCCGGGACCCCAAGTGGCCGCCACGCGCGCGCGAACTAAAATATGTTTTTTTTCCTAACCATCCTGTGGTGTTGGGTCCTCGTTTTGAAGAGACGGCGCCCCGCGTTCCTCACCTCCTCCTCCTCCCCCCCCCTTTCCTCATCATCATCATCATCATCATCATCATCATCATCATCATCATCATCATCATCATCATCATCATCATCATCATCATCATCATCATCATCATCATCATCATCACCCCTCACACGTTTCGTGGCCCCATAGGGAGCTCCACCGAAGGCCCCAGTGGCAGGGTTCGCATGCCTCCACCACCCATTTCGGCACACCCCTCACACGTTTCGTGGCCCCATAGGGAGCTCCACCGAAGGCCCCAGTGGCTCATGTTCGGCACACCCCTCACACGTTTCGTGGCCCCATAGGGAGCTCCACCGAAGGCCCCAGCAGTCTCACCGAGCTCCCCAGTGGCATCGCATGCTCCCCACCCATTTCGGCACACCCCTCACACGTTTCGTGGCCCCATAGGGAGCTCCACCGAAGGCCCCAGTGGCAGGGTTCGCATGCCTCCCCACCACCCATTTCGGCACACCCCTCACACGTTTCGTGGCCCCATAGGGAGCTCCACCGAAGGCCCCAGTGGCAGGGTTCGCATGCCTCCCCACCACACATTTCGGCACACCCCTCACACGTTTCGTGGCCCCATAGGGAGCTCCACCGAAGGCCCCAGTGGCAGGGTTCGCATGCCTCCCCACCACCCATTTCGGCACACCCCTCACACGTTTCGTGGCCCCATAGGGAGCTCCACCGAAGGCCCCAGTGGCAGGGTTCGCATGCCTCCCCACCACCCATTTCGGCACACCCCTCACACGTTTCGTGGCCCCATAGGGAGCTCCACCGAAGGCCCCAGTGGCAGGGTTCGCATGCCTCCCCACCACCCATTTCGGCACACCCCTCACACGTTTCGTGGCCCCATAGGGAGCTCCACCGAAGGCCCCAGTGGCAGGGTCCGCATGCCTCCCCACCACCCATTTCGGCACACCCCTCAGACGTTTCGTGGCCCCATAGGGAGCTCCACCGAAGGCCCCAGTGGCCTGGTTCGTATGCCTCCCCACCACCCATTTCGGCACATCCCTCACACGTTTCGTGGCCCCATGGGGATTTCCACTGAAGGCCCCAGTGACTGGGTTCGCATGCGCCCCCACACCCATTTCGGCACACCCCTCACACGTTTCGTGGCACCATAGGGAGCTCCACCGAAGGCCCCAGTGGCAGGGTTCGCATGCCGCCCCCGCACCAATTGCGGCACACCCCTCACACGTTTCGTGGCCCCACAGGGAACTCCACCGAAGGCCCCAGCGGCTGCGCTCGCATGCCGCCCCCACACCAACTTCGGTGCACCCCTCACACGTTTCGTGGCCCCATATGGAGCTCCACCGAAGGCCCCAGTGGCAACGTTCGCATGCCGCCCCCACACCCATTTCGGCACACCCCTCAACCGGTTCGTGGCCCCATAGGGAGATCCACCGAAGACAGTACTCACACCAGCATTACTCACAACTGCATATGGTTGGGTCCTTCGCCAGGCTAATTTTTTATTACCAGAGAGGTTAGCACGCCTCTGGCCCGTTGGGCTGGCGAGTTTTCCTATTGACCGTCGGCCCCACATGATCTGCCAGCTCTCTGCAATTATCAGGTTTTGAATTTCACACGCTCAGCGGCGCTTGCGGCGGTGACCGCCTTGCCGTAGACCTTGCAAACGTTGTCTACTCTTTATGTGTCTAGGCTTTGTGCCCTAAAGCGGCTCGTGCAAAGTCGTACACATCATCTGAATGTGGCAATCCCACTGTCCCCCCAGTTCCTCAGTGGAGGCTGTTAGCAACAACGCCGTGGGCTTGGCAAGCTTGGCAAGGGCCTCGGAGGGCCGCGGGGCGGCCAGGGATGCGAAACCGGATAGTGCAGAGACATGTTTTTTCCCAACCATCCTGTGGTGTTGGGTCATCGTTTTGAAGAGACGGTGCCCCGCGTCTCCTCCCGCTGCCCCCTCCTCCTCCCCCTCCTCCCTCCTCCCTACGTTTCACCCATCCAGTACAGCATTTCGTGGCCCCAAAGGGAGCTCCACCGAAGGCCCCAATGGCAGGGTTCGCATGGCGGCCCCGCGTTTTGGCGCTCCCCTCACACGGTTCGTAGCCCCATAGGGAGCTCCACCAAAGGCCCCGGTGGCAGGGTTCGCATGGCGGCCCCGCACCATTTTGGCGCACCCCTCACACGGTTCGTGGCCCCATAGGGGGTTCCACCGAACGCCCCAGTGGCAGGGTTCGCATGGCGGCCCCGCGCCATTTTGGCGCACCCCTCACGGTTCGTGGCCCCATAGGGAGCTCCACCGAAGGCCCCAGTGGCAGGGTTCGCATGGCGGCCCCGCGCCAGTTTGGTGCACCCCTCACACGGTTCGTGGCCCCATAGGGAGCTCCACCGAAAGGCCCCAGTGGCAGGGTTCGCATGGCGGCCCCGCGCCAGTTTGGCGCACCCCTCGCACGGTTCTTGGCCCCATAGGGGGCTCCACCGAAGGCCCCAGAGGCAGGGTTCGCATGGCGGCCCCGCGCCAGTTTGGTGCACCCCTCACACCGTGGCCCCGCTCCACCCGCATCACACCCCTCACACGGTTCGTGGCCCCATAGGGAGCTCCACCGAAGGCCCCGTGGCAGGGTTCGCATGGCGGCCCGCGCATTTTGGCGCACCCCTCACACGGTTCGTGGCCCCATAGGGAGCTCCACCGAAGGCCCCAGTGGCAGGGTTCGCATGGCGGCCCCGCGCCATTTTGGCGCACCCCTCGCGCGGTTTGTGGCTCCATACGGGGCTCCACCGAAGGCCCCAGAGGCAGGGTTCGCATGGCGGCCCCGCGCTAGTTTGGTGCGCCCCTCACATGGGTTGTGGCCCCATAGGGAGCTCCACCGAACGCCCAAGTGGCAGGGTTCGCATGGCGGCCCCGCACCATTTTGGCGCACCCCTCACGGTTCGTGGCCCCATAGGGAGTTCCACCGAAGGCCCCAGTGGCAGGGTTCGCATGGCGGCCCCGCGCCAGTTTGGTGCACCCCTTACACGGTTCGTGGCCCCATGGGGAGCTCCACCGAAGGCCCCCGTGGCAGGGTTCGCATGGCGGCCCCGCACCATTTTGGCCACCCCTCACGCGGTTCGTGGCCCCATAGGGAGCTCCACCGAAGGCCCCCGTGGCAGGGTTCGCATGGCGGCCCCGCGCCACGGTTCGTGGCCCCATGAGGAATTCCCTTTGCTTCGTCCCACCTGCCCTGCGGTTTTCACACTGGTTGGGTCCTTCGCCTGGATGATTGACATGTTGGTGGCCTGGGTGGGTTTTCAACAGGCCCTCAGAGATAGCGGGCAAGCGTGGGGTGTGTGAGTCGCTGTCAATGTCGCATACATGCTGTCGGGTGCACAATTGGCTTGGACTGGGCTGGAAGTGGTCGAGGACCTACTACAACCGAGAGCCTTGGGCTGTACCATGCGTATTTCAATGTGGCAAGATGTAGGAGAGTATGTGTGTGTTTGCTTTGGCAATATCTACCGTTGGACAGTTAGCGAGGTATGGGTTGATATGTAAGCGCAGCGACACTTACCATGCTTACGACTTCCCCTATAAGTTTGATGGGTTGCGATCCAACTCTTTCCAGGCAACACCTTAGGTTGGACCGAGGATGTCTCCACACGAGGGGGAAAGGCCTGAGACCTGAGCCACAGAAACGCTGAGTATCATGCAATTGGCGCTGTGTAGCTTAGTGTCCAGAGCGAGTGTCGTATACACTGCCGTCGTTGCCAGAATTCAGTCCCCTCGCCCAGTCTTAACAAGGCGCTGTCGTGTCCTGGTAGGCACGAAATCCTTTGGCTCCAGTCGGGATTCGCCTGGGCCCAGGAGACGCCAGACAGAGTTCGATTCTCGACTGCCGAGAGATGCTCTCCTGTGTCTTTTGGGCGGCCTTGGCTCCGCTTGAATACATTTCGGCAGGTCCTTTCGGGGCCTCCGCAGACCATCCCCCAGGATGCCACCCAGCTCCGCGGTGCGTCGCTCCAGGCCACAGGGTGATCCCCGCAAAGCTTTGCAACTGCTCCATCCAATTCCCAGGGCCACCAGCCGGGCTAATTGCTGAGATGTTCCACCAATGACGTGAGTGGATCCACGCCCTCGGAATGCCAGAGTCGTGTCGTGATTTGCTGGGCCGTGGTGTTTAGGGTCGTTCCGCGTCGATTTGCAGTGTGGTGTGGTGTCGCGTCCATCGGGCGTGCGTTCGATTCGCTCGTCGAATCTCGCATGCCGCCTGGTGCGTCGGCGGATTTGAAGGTGAACGGACGGGTCCTGGATTACTTGGACGAGCAGCTCTGCTCTCACCGCGGCTTCGTGCTGCAGGCGGTACAACAGCGAGTCATGGCGATACTGCAGCGCGCCCCAGCCACTCTCTGCAGTGACCCGCAGTTCATGTTGCAGGCGATACAGCTCAGGGCGTCTGCCTTCGTGCATGCTCCGGACGGCCTGCGCGATGATCCCGAGTTTGTGTTAGAAGCCATCGGTCGCAACAACAATGTGCTGCAATTCGCGCCTGGGCGCTTCCGGCATAAAGCAACATTCATGTTGCGCGCGCTTGAAAAGTGTCCTGCGCTTTGGGCGCAGCTACCCGAGGCCCTGCTGTCCAACGAGAAGTTCATGATCCAAGCGACGCGGCACCGGCCAGAGTTGTGGGCGCACGCGCCAGAGCACTTGCGGAATAGCTTCCGCTTTATGGCGCAGGTGGTGCAGCATGACGGTCTTCTCCTCAAGGAGGCCTCCAAGAGCCTCCGCGCGGATTGGGACCTTGTTGCCAAGGCAGTGATGCAGAACCGCCTCGCGCTGGACTACGCGGCGGAGGAGCTGCGACGTGATTGGCACCTGAAGTTGGTGGCTTTCTCCCGCGGCGGGGGTGGCGACGTGCAGCAGAAGCCGAAGCGGCAGAGGGCTGAGTGGGAGACCGTGGCGGCCTCGGGCAATTTGCAGGAGGCGCTGGCAGAGGCTGACAGCTTCGTGGCTGCCAAGCAGAAGGCCGCCGCTGCCAGGCGCAAGGGGCGGCTGCTGTGCACGAGCCTGCCTGCCGATGCCTGGTGCAGCGTGCTCCTGTTCGCGGGGGCTGCGACCGGCATGCGGGCGGCGCGGTGCGCCAGGGAGCTCCAGATGCTGGCCAGGCACCTGCTGCCACAGCTCCTCCACACCTTCGAGTACGCAGAGTCCTCGCTGCAGGGCCGGGCCCGCAGGGGCTGCCACTACCTGCTGCGCCCCGATTCGGCGGGCGAGGGAGGCTCCACGGGCGCGGCCCGGCGGCTGCAGGCGCTCTTCACCTCGCCGTGCGCTCCGCTGCTCCGGGTCGTGGACCTCTCGCAGGCGCCGGTGCTTGGCATCCTCAGGGCCACGGAAGCCTTGGTCAAGGTGGAGGGCCTGGAGCTCGTGCGTTATCCGCAGACGGGCTGGGACAGCAGCGCGCAGCTGAGCTCTTTTATCAAAGCGCTCGACTCCAAGGGGGTTGCCTCCGAGGCCACCAAGGTCAGGAGATCACCGCCACGACCACCAAATTCGATCCGCCTACCCCCCTCCCGTCCCCCTCCTCTGACGGGGGGACCTTGGAGGGAGGAAGAGGTCGGGCGGTTGGGCTGTTGGCGGTGATGAGGGCCTCCCGCAAGGTGCGGCTCAAGACCGACCGCGGCACTTTCGCGCCGCCCTCCTACCCCGCCCCGTCCACGCACGTGGCGCAGAGCGTCGGCAGCACCGGCGGCGCTGGCAGCTGTGGCGGCCTCTCGGCCGCCGCGCGCGCGGTGCTGGACTTGCTGCCCGAGGACGCTCCGGCAGGGCACGAGGCATGGGAGCGGGTGCGGTTGTGCAGGAGCAACGAGGTCAGCATGTTCCGCTACACCCTTGGGGATACGGACATCCACTTCCAGGTGACCGAGAAGAAGGTCGGGAGCGCGCTCGCCGCGCAGCGCCTGGCACGCTCGTGCTACATGCGCTTCGAGGCCGGCCAGAGCAAGGACGACATCTTGGCCTGGCGCAACGAGGTCTACGCCCAGGTTGCAACGGCGCTACGGCGCAACTCAGAGAACGCCTGACGTGTCAGTCCTTGCCCTCACGTCTCCTCTCGTCGCGTCTTGCCTCCCATGCTGTTCTCGGGCAGGGTCCATCAGGGAGGCTGCTGCCGGGAGCTTTCGCCCGCACTGCGCGCGCGAGGGCTGAGCCGCGCGAGGGCCGCCCCAGGCTCCAGCTGGGTGGACGCCGGGGCGGCGGCCCCCTGGGCGCCGTCCCGCCTCCACATTCTCGAGCGCTCACGGGAGTTGACAGCAGGGGGACCCCCTCCTCTTTCTCCCGCTCCTTCTCCTCCTCCCCCTCTTCCCTCTTGTCCCTCTTCTCCATTTTCCCTTCCTCCCTCTACTCCGTCCCCCACCCTTCTCCTCCTCCTCCTCATCATCATCATCATCTCCTCCTCCTCTTTCTCCTCCACTCCTTCTCCCTCCTCCCCCCCTCCCCGTGTGGGGACGCGCTCGGGGGGGACAGGGGAGAAGGGTGGGTATGGGGAGAGGTACAAGGAGGAGGGGGAGGAACGGGAGAAGAGAAGAAGAGGCTGGGCAGGAGGAGAGGGAATATGATAGAGATGGTGAAAATGCTGATGATGATGATGATGTTGTTGTTGATGAGGATGAGGAGGAGGAAGACGAGGATGACGGTGATGATGACGATGCTGCTGCTGCTGATGATGCTGATGATTGTGATGATGCTGTTGATGATGTTGTTGATGCTGATGAGGATGATGCTGATACTGACGTTGATCATGATGATGCGGATGAGTATGAGGATATTGATGATGCTGATGATGTTGTGGTTTATGGTGATGATGGTGGTGATGATGATACTGATGATGGTGATGATGATGATGATGATGATGATGATGATGATGATGATGATGATGATGATGATGATGATGGTGGTTTTGGTGATGGTAATGGCGATGGTGGTAATGGTCGTGGTTTTGATGATACTGCTGATGGTGATTGTGATGGTGATGGTGGTATGGTGATGGTGGTGGTGGTATGGTGGTGACGGTGGTGAGGACGAGGAGGACCACACCACAGTAAAACCAATGCTCCACGGTGACCGCACCGTAGGGCCGCTCCTGTTTGGAGCCGATACACCAGTTAATCTATACATATATATATATATATATACAAGACTGCAGTGGCGCTTCGCGCCATACACCTTGGTCCTTGAAGTTTGGCATGCAGGCGGAATGGCAGGAAGGTCAAGCCGACAATTTAGCGATAACTCCTGGTTGCCTTTTCCGGCATCGCCGCTATAATGATGTTATTCGTTATTATTCCTCCATGCTTATTGTTCCTTATTTTCGCCATACCCTGCGCATTCTCCCCATCCTCCTCAGCTCTTTTTTGCGGAGGCTCCTCCTTGGAGAGCCTCTAGGGGCCTCACAAAAGTTGTTCCGGGCTTTCTTAAGGCCTTCTGGAGGCCTCCTGGGCGTAGTTATTCTGGGGGCCTCCGGGGGCTTCCTCGGGCCACCCTGCCTCCAACGGCCGTCTCCCTGAACGACCGAATCACGATTTGGAATTCTTCGCAGGGTGTCTTTGGGCCATGTTGGGCCGCCATGGGCTCTCTGAGGGCCATCTTGGACCCGTGTTGTGCCGTTTTGGGACTCTCTTGGACTGCCTGGAAGCCCTTTCGGATGGTTGTGGGGCGATTTGGGAGCCTCCCAGGCGGCTTCGGACGCCCAGAAGACCGCCGTCTTAGAGCGTCGGGAAGCCGAAAAGAGGAGAACCCCAAAATTCACCAAAAACCAATAGAAAATCAATGATTTGTGCCTCGGGGGGCCTTCTTGGGAGTGCTCTTGGAGGCCTCTTTGGGGCCGCCCTGGAGGCCTCTTGGGCCATCTTGAGGTCACGTCGGTCACTCTTGGAGCGCTCTTGTGCTGTCTTGGGGGTCTCTGGGACGTCTCCGATGACCCCCCTGATCGCCTTGAGTGTGCTGGGAAGGCTCGGCAAAACGCCTTGCGAGGCCCGGTGGCCGCCTCGAGGCCCGTCCGGAGGGCCCCAAAGCCCCAGGTCCCGGGAGTCCGGTTTTGGGGGGGGAGGGGGGGGGACGGGTTTTCCCCCCGCCCGGGCTTATAAAAATATAGGAAGAGGAATCCAGATGTGTATTTATTTATCTATATATATATATATATATATATATATATTGTTCTCGGTGCAGCGGGGCCAGCACGCCGGTATGCCGATTCAGTATATCTTCGCCGCTGAGCCGATATGTCGATATGCCGACCCAGTCCAATTTGGCATATCGGCGTATCGGCTCAGCGGCATATCGGCATATCGGCGTATCGGTTTATCAGTATATCGGTTTATCGGTTCTGGGGCGTGGATTACCTCGAACGACGCGTCGGCGCATCGGCTCCACGGCTCCGAATCGGTCCGACACAGCCCGTTCCACAAGGCCCGCGGGACCTGTTTGGTTAGCCCCAGTGCGCGTTCAGCGGAGGCCCGCGGGGCTTGTTCCACTGAGGGCCTGGCATGTTCCACGCAAGTCCAGGCCCGTTCCACATCGGCCCGAGGGCCTCGTTCCACGGAAGCTTGGGCACATCCCACACAGAAGTTGTGCATCGGTTTATCGGTGTATACTGTTTTTTCGGTTCGGGGGCGTGGATTGCCTCGAACGGCGGGTCGGCGCATCGGCTCCACGGTTCCGAACCGGTCAGCCCGTTCCACAAGTCCCGCGGAGCCCGCTTCGCTCGGCCCGAGGCGCGTTCCATGGAGATCCGCGGGGCCTGTTCCACAGAGAGCCCAGCCTGTTCCAGGGAAGCTCGTGCCCGTTCCGCATCACCCCGCGGGGCTTGTTCCACGGAAGCCTGGGCGCAGTCCACGCAGAAGCTGCATAGAGGACAGCGGAGGCATCCAGAAATCTGCGCGACCCTGGCGTCTCCGTGGAAGAGCCCCGGTGGGGCTCGTGGAACGAGCCCTGGGAGTTTGCCGAACGGGTCCTGGAGGGCTTTGGACTGGGCTATGGGCCGATCTACCCCCTTTCTTCTCGGAGCTATCCGCGAGTCGATTTGATTAATGATCTCGTCCTCGACCGTTCCGATCTGATTCGATTCGATGGAGAATATTTCTATGCTATGCTGTCAACCCGAGGGCTTCGCTCGATTTGACTGGCTCGGTCCACGCGCTCGGTCGACCGAGCAGTTCGACCCGACTCGATCCGATTGGGTTCGGTTCGAGTCGATGCAGCCTCCGATATCTCTGTCTCTATCTATATATTCCTCTGTCTTTCTCTCCTTCTCCTTCTCTCCCTCTCTCTGCTTCTCCCTTTCCCTCTACCGGTCGCCCGCCCTTTCCCTCCCTCCCTCCCTCCGTCTCCCTTCAAATTTCCAGAATTCTCTCGATGTTCCTGGGGCCACGAAGCGGCCCCAAGAGGGAACACATTGAGAAAGAGCTCAATTGTTTCCAAGATTTGGGGTGCCAGGGTCTCTTCGGATCGGTCCATTCGGGTGTTGTCAGGTGTGGCCAAGGGTGGCACCAGCTTTTCCATGGAGGCCCAGATGTTTTCAGGAACTCCCAGGGGGCGCTAGAAGCTGAGGGCAATTTTTGCCTGGATCGCTGTTGGCAAACTGCGTTCCATGGTTTCCAATTATCCAGCTGCCTACGGCAGTTCCCGCCACCGTGCTTGGGTTGTGGGCTATCTCGTGGGGGCCTCTCGGGGGCCTGTTGGAGGCAGTGTTGAGGCCTCTTGGGGGCTGTTTTGGAACCTCTTGGGTGCCTCTTGGGGGCCTCTTGGGGCGTCTTGAGGGCCTCTGAGGGGCCTTTTGGGGCCTCTTGGGTGCCTCTTGGGTGCCTCTTGGGACCTCCTGGGCCCCCTTGGGGCGGAAGGCTCGGATTTTCGGTTCGTGCCCCTTTGGGGTTCGTCTTGGGGCCCTCTTGGGCCGTCTTGGGCGCCTCTTGGGCCGTCTTGGGGCGCTTATAGGCCGTAACTATAGGGGGCGCTGTTTTGGGTGGTCTTGGTGGCCTCTGGGGCCGTCTTGGGGCGTCGGAAAGCTGAAAAAGCGAGAACGGCCAAATCCTTTGAAACGTAATGGGGATGATTGGTTTTTGCCTTAGTTGGGCCCTCTTGGGAGACCTCTTCGAGCTTCTTTTGGAGCCTTGTAAGCCTCTTGCGCCATCTGGAGGCCATCTTGGGCGTCTTCGAGCGATCGTTCGGCGACTCGGGGCCCTCTTGGACCGTCTTTGGGGCCTCCTGGGCCGTCATGGAAGCTTTGGACGGTCCCAGGGAGGCGCCATGGCCGCCCAAGGATCCCCCTGGAGTATGGCCGGTGCGCGCGGGGAGCTGCGGCCTGGAGAGGGGGGTCCCTTAGAAGGCAGTTGAAACCCTACCATACAGCACTCAGCGTTTTAGCACGCCTTAATTTGCCAGGGGGCACGGTGGCGGATCGTCCAAGTAGTCATCTCATCTTTCTCGCCTGCCTTCAGCCGCGTGCAGGTGTGCCTGGCGCCTTCGGTCGCGTCGGTTCGGTTCGATACGATTTCGCCTCGGAGCAGATGTTTCATCCAGCATCACTCGGTCCTCGGGCCCGATGCCAGAACTCATACAGATCCATCGCCTCCACCGAGGTCCCGGGCTCCAGAAAGCAGTGTATTTGGACAGCTTCGGGAAATGTGCGGGCCCAGACTCTGCATATCCCCTGGCCACTGCCTCGGGGTCCTGGGACATCGATTCCCAGTACGGTGGATACGTATAGATTCTGGCCACGGCTCGATCTTTGTCGCTCTCGTATTTCTTTTCTGCTCTTGCTGCCGGCACCGCGCCCCGCCTCTCTTGCCTAGCTGCTGCGTGCAAACGCAGCCGTGAGCGTCCTGGCTCCTGCCCAGACCTTCGACGTCTTGTTTCTGTTGCTCTCTTACATGCGGGGTCCTCCGAGTTCTCGGCCCCGTCCCTGGAGAATTGATTCCCGTATTATCTGTTGACAGCCCTGGGTCTCTAAAGCGGCATCCCGACGCGGAAAGTGATGCAGAGCATCAGCCTTCATGTCATCACGGCGTCGGAGGACTGGGACTTCGCGCCCCGCTGCTGGGCAAACGCGGCCTGGATCTCGTCTGCGGGATGTGGGCGCTGGCGCCGTGGAGCAAACAAAAGCAGAACCAGAGCGACTCGGGTGCAAGCGACTCCGATGGCACGTACCCTTCTGAGGAGGAGGCGGAGGAGGAGGGGGAGGAGGAAGAGGATATATGATGAGGCTTAAGATGCAACTTCCGATGATGAGGATGATATGTAATGATTATCGTAAAACGGAGTGCAGGGAAGAGTCCAGGGTTGAGAACCGAGATGCAGAATCTTGACATTGTTTGCCCCTTTGGGGCTCCACAGGCTTCTAGAGACCCCGGGGGTCCTCCACGGACCTGCAGGATCTTCCCGAGACCGGAACCCGCGGAGGTAATTACGCACGCTCCTTAGATTGGATTTTTGACGATTCGATTTGTTTCCAGTCGCCGTTCTCCGCCGCCGCGCGTTCTCAGTTGGCTCCTCCTCTTGTGCCGTCGCCGTCGTCGTCCCTCGTTCTCGCCCCTGGTCGTCGTTATCATTATTGTCGCATTCCTGAGACGCGCTCACCTTTCTGAGTTGCTAGGTGTACCGCCTCCAAATCTGATATCCTTCTCAGATCCCTCATACTCCTTCTTCTCCTCCTCCTCCTCCCCCTCCCCCTTCCGCCTTCGCCCTTCTCCCTCCTCCCTTCGCTTTATCCCTCATCTCATCCTCTCCTCTCCTTCCTCTTCTGCCTCTCCTCCCCCACTCCTCATTATCCCTTCTCCCTCCTCCTTCATCGCTCCTCTTCCCCCGCGCCGCGTCCAGAGAGATCCCCCCTTCCTTCCCCTTCCTCCCCCCTCCTTCTCCTTCCTCATCCTTTTCTTCCTCGGCTGCCATTTCCGAGAGGAGCATCTGATACACACGTATATATCTAGTATACATGAATTAGTCATCCCTGTTCTCCTATCCCATACTCGTGCTCCCCTCCACTCCCTCCTCCCACCTCTCTTCTTCTCCCTCCTCCCTCCTCTTCCTCCCCTCCTGCCCCCTCCCTCCTCCAGGTGTGGTTCGAGTTGCTCACACACACAAACCGATATCATACCCGCACCATGTGTTGCCCTTCCAGGGCCGCAGCATCGCGCCTTCCCTCCCCTCGATGGCCCACTGCAGGCCCAAAAGATGAACATTCGTGGCGCAGCAGGAAACGGGCCAAGCGAGCAGAAGCCAGAGTCATTCCCAGGTTTTTTAAGCGCAGATGGCGATTAAGGGACACCACTCGTCGCCTCAGTTCTCTCCCTCTCAGCATCAGTAGCCGCCACAGTGTTTTTCGACAACGTATGCCGGACCGACTGATCACATAGCAGCGCCTCCCCTGCCTTCACTCTATGCCACTCGTCTTCCCTCCGATTGTTGTTCGACCCCCATGCCGAATCAGGGCAGCGGCGATCAGTAGCAGGCGCATTGTTTTTGCCTTCGGTGCGGCAGGGCCAACGCCAAGTTCGATGCCTCCTACCCGGCTTGCTTGGAACGCTTTTGACCTCGCGACCACAGGGCTTGGGTACGTCAGCCGTGCATAAGGGAGGTGCCGCCACGGCAGCCCAGAAAAAACAGCAAGGGACAGACAGGCAAGTCTTAGGACATGCGCACATACGAACAAGTTGCTGACTGGGCTGTCGCCATGGGCATGATGCCGGCTCCGCCTGGGGACTTGGCCGAAGGTAAAGAACCAGCCTCCCCTCAGCCCTGGCAGTCCCAGAAGAGAGAGACAAACGCCTGCCCAACTAAGGATACAGCCAAATCGGACTCAGCCCAGGGGGTCCAGCTGGCACCCCAATCAGGGCAGATGCGGCAGCGACAGACACATTTGGAGTGGACGGCCCCAAGCAGGCGCCCAGCCCTTCAAGGATGAGCCCTCGCAGACTGAGGCAGACAGGATCTTCCCCCCTCTTTTGCCCTCCCGAGCTCGAGCATAGCCCTTGCCAAACTTCTTTCGACCACGGCATGGCCAAGTTCGGTGAGTCGCTAGAGGAGGTATGGGTTCCTTCCTTCACTCAAGAGAAAGCACGCGCGCATCCACCTTTGATTTGCCCCCCAGCCTACCCAGCCAATCTGCAGGAGCTTCGCAAGGCGCTCACTCTGTGTAGGAATGCCCTTGCTCTGCAGCTTCATCTCTCCATTCTCCTTGGCCATTCGCAGCAGGCGCTCGGCTCAGTGACATTCGGTGGGGGATTGCGCTGGTCAGTTTCCAACTTGCGAGTGCTTGGGGCCCCCTCGCCAACACACCGAGGAACAGCAGTCCAGCGCTTCAACGTTGCAGCGCACTTGCGAGCAGGTAACAGTCAATCAGCAGGGAGCTGCAGATAAGGCCAAGCAACTCGTGCTCTTGCTGGTCTTGTCCAATTCAGGTCTCGCTCAGGCCACGACGCTGGTATCGTGGTCTAGACCCCAAACTCCCATGGTGCCTGCGAGAACGGAAGTGCCCATGCTTCGGGGCCACGCGACAACAGATCTTGGCTCCCCAGTGCGCGCAGCGGCCGCCGCGTCTCTCCCGCTTACGATCTCGTCAGAACTAGGCGGCGCAGGGACGCCACAGCTCGACCTATCGACTCCCCCCCCGCCCGTGCAGTCAACGCGGCCCCGCAAGCCCACGTCGACGACGCTGCCATATGCGCGGGCAACGTTAAGGCAGCATGTGGTGGCCAAATCTCAAGTGGTGCGCAGGTGGAAATGGGCACTATCGCCACGCAGTTTTACTTCAGCAGTCAGGGCCGTGCCATTAAGTTTCAGCCTTTAGCTGGGCGCCCGATTCCCATGGGGGTGAGCAGGGTCAGCCTCGTAGCAAGGAGCCAGGTCCAGAGCAGAGGGCCTTCTTTCAGTTAGGAAAATCGCTCATGCCGATTGGGGCCCCACCGAGCCCTGTCGCTCTTGAGTTCAGCGTTGCGCGCCCGCTCGCGTAGCATGCGAGGCCGCGCCGCCAGCTTCTAGATCGGTCATGAAGGCAGGTTGGGACCTGCGCGACGCCGACGGCAACGCCATCGCAGGCGGGCCCTCAGGCGCAGCCAGGCGCGGGCCGTCAGCTGGCTGGCCTGGGAGGTCAGCGGCGCTGGATATTGGAGGAGATAGGGCACTGTCCGCCCACCAGAGGGCGCTCCCCGCAGGCGCTCCACCAGCCCAAGGCACCCAGATGAGAAGCCGCGCGATTGGCTTGCGGACTGCCTCCCGCGACTCAGACCTTGACCCCCTTTCCCGCGCGCGCAGGTCGGCCCTCGGTTCTACCCCGCCCCTGGCGGCGGCTACTATTGCGCGAGGGCCTTGGCCGCTGCTCTGGCCGAGGCGGAACTCCGGGGCGTGGAGGCAGAGAGCTTAGCCCGGGCTCGGCGCGGCGTCATGGCCCGGGGCGCCATGGGCGGCGCGGTTTCTTCATTGCCCCGCGGGGCCCGGGCCCCGGGGTGAATCTTAGACGACGGCCGGGCATCAAGCGTCGTCCTTTGCCGTCCACGCGTAGGATTCTGCTCGTGCTCGCAGCCGCCCCCGTCTTTCTCTGCGCAGTTCCTGATGCGATTCCTCCGTCGCCCCGCTCCACCCCCGCCCCCGGGGCGCAGTTTTCGCCTTGGCTCCCCCCTTGCCGCCTTCGACGCCGTCGGCTCTTCGCCGACGCTAGCGGATTTTTCGGCCTGGGGGGGTCTGCGAGGGCCCCCGGGTGGACCGTGGACCAGCAATGTATTCGAGGATACCTCGGGAGCGCGCTATCTGACCTAATGTCTCCCGACAGAGAGTCGGCAGGCGCGGGTTTCGAAGCGGCCGCTTGGGGGGGGGGCCCGCGTCCTCCAATCGCCCCGCCCCCCTGCCGCGCTCGTTCGCTTGCGCTCCGACTGCGCGGGCGCGGTCGGCGCGGAAGCAGGCGGCGCGGTCTGCGAAACATTGGGGCAGATGCGTTCCCGTCTTGGCTTTCTAGGCAACTTTCCAAGGCTGGCCCGCGCAGTCGAACGGCGCCGCGCCCGCGGTCGCCGAGCGAATCCGCCGAGCGAGATGGCAGACGCAGCGGCGCGTCTATTTTACTTGCATTATCCCGTCGCCTCTTCCTTCTTCCTCCTCAGCTTTTTCTTCTTATTTTTCTTCTCCTTCTTCTTCTTCCTATCTTATCCCCCCCGCCGCGCAGGCGCTCGGCGACCGCCGTCGCGCGCTGGAACGGACGTGTATGGATTATCGCACGTCGGACCAGGGTGGCTGTTCCCCACGCGCGCGCTGTTCCTGCGTCGCGGCCTCTTCGCCCAGCCGCCAGCCTTGCGGGCGTCTTCCCTGCCGCGCAGAATGTTTCAATCAATTGCGCGACGCCTCTAGGGCCCCCCCTGTCCTGCGTGGTTTGCCGCGGCTGGCATTGCGCCCGTTGCCCCGTCCTCTCGCATTTCCAAGAGAGCGCGCCTCGCAACGGTGGCAACTCGCGTCCGCTCGCATCAACTGCGCGCCCGCATTCCAGTCGCGCCAGCTGTTGATATCTGGCGCGCGAGGGGCCCGCGCCTGCGAAGGCGGCTCAGGGAAGCGCAGGGTCTCGCCTTGCATGGCATGCCTTTCCGCATCTTCCCATGGCCCTCACGAGGGTGAGCACGCGTTTGGGCTCGCGCTGTTAATTGCTATTTCCCATGCCGCGGAGGTCGGCCCGCGCGCCCCGTCGAGGGTAACCGTGTCAGAATTCGGCGCTTGGGGCAGTGCGCAGTGGCTGTCTCGGCCACAATGGACGCCCCCCGATTTAATGTCCTGATGGCCCATGCAAATGATAGCCCATGCGCGGCACTCAGGCATTGATTTCGCGATTCAGCCCGCATGGCGGTCACTGTGCGTTCGCAACCGCGCGTTTCCATTGCCAATTTTCGAACTGATTCCTATTGGCGCCAAGGCTGCCACTGGTTCGGCCACCACGGCGCATGTTGGACCTGCTCATGCTGAGCTCCAGGCCAGTGCGGGCGAGGTGTTTCATGTTTTCATAAGGGCGCGCAATCCTGGGCCCCCTCCATTTTCATCCGGGGCCCCTTGGGGCAGGCGCGTGGGCTTCGCTTGCCGCAGACCTGTCCTTTCTCGGTAACTGAAAGTGCCGAGACTACGTGGCCC